TTTTTGACTATTTTCTTTTTTTTTGTATTAAATTCTTTTATTGGTACATTGTAGGTATACAACACAATTACATTTCTCATTGGGAATTGTACCTTTACATAATACATCTTGGTTCTTATTTTTTCCTCATTCCTAACCCTCCCTTCACGCCCTCCACCCTTCCCTATTTACAAAGACTTTATTTCCATTTTTTCCATTTCTCATCATTTTTCCTTTCCCTCCTTTCCTTTCCCCTGCCCCTCCCACTACCCCTACCCTTTTGGACCTTTTCTTCCTATTTTACATTATCGATTATTCATTCTAATCATTGGTACATTTTAGGTATACAATATAATGACATTCATCATTGGAAATTTGCACCTTTACATACTCTCTCTTGGTTCTTATTTTTCACCCTTGCCCAGCCCTCCCTTCAACACCTCCTGTCCTCCCTATTTACAAAGATTTTGTTCCTATTTTTCCATTTTCTAAAAAATATCTCTGGAATTCCTTCTATTGTCATGTTAGGGTACAGGAAATGTTCTCCAAACCTCTTAGCCCTTCCCATATGATTACTATCTCTTTGTGTTTTTGCTCCTTATAGGAAGACACTTCATTTACTTGTTCTTCCAGAGCATTAATTTCATTTTCATCAGGGCCAGTGATTTTTATTTTTAGTTCTTCTGCCACTACTTTAAGTTTTAAATTTAAAATCAGTGTTCTTAGTTCAGAATATCTTTCTTGCATTTTTTTCTTGATTTCTCATTGCTATCATCACTGATATTTTCTTCCAATATTTTAATTATTTCTACCTAAGTGGGGACCTGCCTATTATAAATGTCCTATGTGATCTACCCTCAGGTGAATTTGTCCCCCTAAGTTATATACTGTTTTTCTTCTGCCTACCCATGGATCTATTTCTTCTGACCCTTATGTAAGTGTTTACGTAGGTATTTGCCATTAACAAATTTGAAAATAGCGAAAGGCACAGGCCTTCCTACCCTGGCATTCTCGCTAGAAGTGACCAAACTGGCCAACCTGAAGTGGCCCCTCTTTCCTTTCAGAGCTTTCTTGGGTAGGAGGAGCATCTTTGTCTCTGGCCCCTGAACTTGGAAATAAGCCATCCAGCTAAAGTAGCCCCTGACTGTCTGGAGCCCTATGGCTAATTCTACTCCTACAACCTCCTAGGGTGGGAGGAATACTGAACAATGGGCAGCTGGAAGACTGAATGTGGGTACAGCCTGTCTGAAGATAGAGACCTCTCTTGGGAGGGAAGCTTGCCCAGTAAAGCACTTCAGGGAATGTCAGAACCCTGGTCTTTAATAGACTCAGACTGGAGCAAACTCTCCATTATGCTACTAGTATCTTACCTTTACTCACAAACAAGAAAAACAAAGTCTTCTACTTTCTCTCTTATCTAGAGATTTCCAGACAACCTATGGTCTCAAATGCATTCTCTAAGATTTTCTAATTCTGCTACTTAAAGCACATCCTTATATCTTATTATCTACCAGTTTGATTTAAAGAGACTCAAATGAAATAGACTCGAGTGATCTTTAAATAATTCATACGGAGGATAGAATTCCCAGAGGTATGTGTAGCCATAAAGCTTCTTGCCTCATAGCTTCAATCATTATCACTCAAGAACACACTCTGGCCACTTATTCTACCCTTCTGTAAGGAATGAGGCATTCCTAGTCTTTCTCTTATTGGGGATGAAAATCTACTTGAACTAATTCACTTATGCTGTAAAAGGTTAATTGCCACTTGATTATGAACTACAACCAGTGTTGAGTTTAACTCAATAATCATTTCTTTGGCTCATGGGTAGTTTATTTAGACTTTGCTCTTTGTAAGTGGTTCTTCTAATCTCACCTGATTCCACTCACTGGAGTGTTACCTGCCTGATCCAAGTTGATTGAAGACTACGTAGGGATATCTGATCCAGATTGGGCTTGGCTGGTCATTGTGCTCCACATAGCTGATCCTCCTTGTGTGACCAGTGGGCTAGCTCTGCATGATCTTCTCATGGCAGTGTCAGAGGTACAGGAAAGCAAGTAAAGGCACATAAAGCATGTTGGGGCTTAGCCTAGGAACTGGCATGCAGTCACTTCAGCTTCATTCTTTCGGCCAAGTCCAGTCATGTGTCAAAATCCAAAGTTTAGAGCCAAGAAAGGAGGCCCTTCCAACAGTGTAGGGGGCAAGAGGAGGAGGGTGATACACAATGAATGCTTTCTTAGTCACTCTCTCATTGCTGAGACAAAATACCTGACACCCACAACTTGAAGGAGGAAAGTTTTATTTTACCTCATGGTTTGGTTCTGTGATTGGCTGGCAGAGAGGCATGACAGACAAAAAATGACTCACATTATGGTGGCCACAAAGTAGAGAGTGAAGAGAGCAGCCTGGGGAAAATATTCCCTTCCAGGTCACACCCCCAGTGCCACCTCCAACTAGGTCCCACCTCCTAAAAGCACATTCAGCTACTAAACTCTTTGTGGATGAATCCACTCATGAATACATACTGCACCCTCATGATCCAGTAAATTTCCAAAAGCCCCACCCCTGAACACATGAGCTTTTTGGGAGAATTCTATGTTAAATCACAAGAAATATGTTGTGCCGTGTGTTTCACCTCTGAAAAAGTCATTGATGATAAATGCCATTTGCTTACTTTCAGTATTGTCCTCAGTAAGTCTCACTCCCTCTTGTGGAACCCTCCTTGATACCATGTCCCCCTGAATCTCACCCTGCCATCAGATTATAGTAGATTCTCCTGCTAAAGGCTCTTATTTTGCTCTCTACTTCCTTTAGAACACTCATCTCTCTTCTGAGTTCAACTTTTAGGTTCTGTGAGAGCAGAGGACCAGGAATATTATATACAATTTCTCATAGAGCCTAGCATGGTGCTAGGATTATAGTAACTGAGTATTAGATATCGAGTGAGCAACTGAATCTATATAAATGTCTGAGTGAAAGGCATCTAGACTCTTGGTCCTATGAAACAGGTTTTGGTTTACCTGTAAAACTACCTGACTTTACATCACCAGATATACCTTTTACCTTTGGCAAAGTGGACAAACAATATGTATGAGTAAACCACATGTATTAGTTATGCATTAGTACATATTTGCATTACACAAAGTTTACATTCATCTTGGGGAGTGGGGTATATGTACATAATGTAGCTTGTTTCCGTTTTTAATCCCCTTCCCTTTCCACCCGTCTCCCTCACTCTACCTCTAAATCCCTTTTCCCTATTTTCATTCTTTTTGTTATTACTTTTAGCTCCTGTTTATGAAATATAATGTTTACATTCATTGAAGTTATTAGGTTCCTACACATGGCATATCTTCATTCTTCTTACTCCACTATCCCACCCCTGCCCTTGGTCTGGACCCTTCCCGTTTGCCAGAGGTCTGTCCCCTTGTTTCCTTTTATTCATTCTTACTATGCTCTTTGTTTGTACTCTGCCTTACTCAAGTGAGAGATACCATGTAGTATTTAAGCGTGTAGGTCTAATTTATTTCATTTAACATTATATTTTCCAGTTGCTTTCATACAATGGCTATTCATTGTGGCTCAACATAAACTTGCTCAGACTAGGTATTGATGACCCAAGATGAGTAGGACTGGTTTTGTGTTAAAGGTATTGCTGATTCAGTGAAAGAGATAGAGGCATGAACAGACAAAAACAGTTACTATGGTAAATATAAGATACAGACATTTCCAGATTGGCACAGGGAGAAGAGGCTTTGGACTCAGCATGCTCTCCTTTGGGACTCCCTGGAGAGGGGCACTCTGAGCTGGCTTGTGAAGGTTGACTAGGAGTTAAGTACATAATGTGAAGATAATGTAGAAAGAATGAAGGAGAGGACAGTGAGCTATCCAAGCTGGCCACAGGGAATTTCAGACGATTCAGTATTGCAGAATGGAGAAAGCAAGGGTGAGAATGCCCAAGAAGCAGAGCTGGCCATGGTCATGTCATAGAATGTCAGTTGAAAGAGTTTAATCAGGGTTGATGTAATGGATTTTATTTTATAAAGTTTGATTTTGATAAAATATGGAAAACAGATGGAAGTTAATAGGACTATAAGGAAGATAAAGAAGCAGTATATACCACATGAGGTAGGAGATCAGAAAAGGAATATCTAACTCAAAACTGAAGTCATAGCCTAGGCTAAATAATGACTTTGAGTTGACTTTTTTCAGATAGATGCAAATGATTTTTATAGATGGAGTATAAAATATTAAGGATGACAATGAGAAATAAAGCTAAAAGTCTTCCTCTTATTACATATTTTCTAGACTAGAATGACTATATTATTTACCATATAACAGGCACTTTTAAACATCTTTTTTATTATAGAAAATTTGAATATGTGCAAAAGTAGATTCTAACAGTGGACACTTCCAGGCCAATCCTGCCCTAACTAAATGCCACTTACCTTCCCTTTCATGTTATTTTGAAATAAATCCTATGTTCATTTTACTATGTAACGATCTGTTTAAATGATAAGAAAGTTGATTTTGTTTTGTTTTTTGAGACAGGGTCTCACTATATAGCTCAGGCTGGCCTCCAACTTGTGGCAGTCTTCCTACCTCAGTCTTCTGAGTGATGAAATTACAGACAAGCACCACCATACCCAGCTAAGACATAGTTTTTAACATAACAACAACTACCAATATCATATCTAAAACATAATTCAATTTAATCAAATAACTTATCAGTGTTGTAATTTCTGATTTTTCCAAATGTAGAAATAAAGATATAAATTGAAATATTCATCTATAGAGTTTATTTGTTCAGGATCCAAATAAAGGGTTGCGATTCTTTGAAAGAAGGGACTACCAGTAATTAATAGGTGTACATGGAGAGCTTTGACTTACATAGAAATACATCACTACTTACTTTGGTTTATTTCACTTCCTCAGTACTTCTGCAGATATCTCAGTAGGTACTTGGCAAAATATGAAGGAAACCTAGATTCTATTATTGGTTCTTTCTCCCATTTTTCTAGGTCTCTGTGTTCCCTGGTGTGCAAATGGACATACTCGGCAGAAAAAGGCTGGGATGAAAGTTTCTGGAAGATGATTGGTTTGGAAGACTTTGTTGCTGATAATTACAGCAAGATAGGTAAAAGAATAGAAAATATATCAAATGATTATCTGTGTGTGTATTAAGATATTCCTGTTTTGTTTTTGTTTGAATTAAAATACAGGAACACAACTCAGTTTTTTCAAGCCTAGGTTTTCCCAAATGATTCTATTGTGATAGACAGGCCATGACAATAGGCCCTTACGTTAGGGCTTGTTTACCTGAGTGGTGATACATGCTATGGAAATCTGTGTTGAAATACAGAACCACAAGTTGAACTAGACTGAGGAGGATCTTTGCATGGAGTAGCTGGGTCTAGCATAATCAAGAAGGTGGGCCATTTCTAGTCTGTAGTAGGAAAATTGTGAGTTAGTTTCAAGGGATAAGGCAAGAAAAAAGAAAAAAATAGAAAAGATAAAAAGTAGAAGAATCAGGAACAAGACAAGAAACAGAATGAAAGCTGATACTATGTGAATAAGGCTTTTCAGTCCCAGACTCCCAGTTTTACGTGGCAGTAAGTAGATGGTACTTTTCTTTTAATTCTTGGCAATCTGTTGTTATGGAGTTGTAGATGGAGTAGCTAGTAGTAGTTTACCTGGTGAAAGTATTTAGATGGTAGATACATGTAGTGACATTTCAGATTTTAAAGCTTTTAAGGTCATTTCACGAGAACATGTTTATTTCCTTTAGTTACTACTTACAATTCTAGTTGGTTCTCATCAGATAGGCAATTATACATACTTCAGTGGAAATTTTGAAACACTGCTGAATTGGTTAGTGTGCAGATCAGGATATTGTAATAATAAGATTAGACAAGATAGAATATGATTTCCTTTTCATGGAATAGAATAAAAGTAAGTGACTATTAGGGCAATTCTTCAACGTGACCTCTAATTTTGGACCCAAGTTAGCTAGTTCAGCTCTGATCAGTTCCCAGCCAGTGAGAAGGAAGAATAAATGATCCAGAGGAATCATGCATGTTCTTTTGGAGGCAGCATAACCTCATTTCTGTTCATCTCTTGTTGACCAGGCTGCATTCAGAAGCCCCCAGTAGGCTGCAAAAGTGTGGGGCATGAAGTCATTGGCTGGGTAGCCACATGTCCATCTATGAGTAAAACTTGAGCAGTGTGTTATTAAATATAGGGAACGACTGGTAGTATCTGTTACAACTTCTGCTCACTCTTGGTAACTATATCCCACAGTAGTTCAGCCTACCTTTCTCTAGAAGAATCCTCATGACAGTCTATGAAAGTTCAAGTAGAAACATGAAGAATAATAATCCTGGTATGTTATCTATGATCTCTTCATCTACTAAGAAATGAATCTGGGCAAAAGAATGCAACCAGGGTTCTAAGCAGGAAGAGCTCTGCTGGAATTCCTGTGGCTCTGTTGAATCCATCTCAGGATCTGAGTTGGTAGAGAAGGGGAGGAGCTTGGGACCAGGGAAGAGAGGAAGAAAGCAAAGCAGCCATCTTTGGTCAGCAGCTATGTTTCAGAACTCTTGCTAGGTGATTTGTGTACATTATCTTATTTGATCTCATCAACCTCTAGTTTCACTATTCTCATTTTACAGATGTGAAAATTGAAATTCGTTTCCTTACTGGGTATTAAGAGGTAGAGTCTGACTCTTTTCCTTGGGATACGTTAGGCTGGGAGGACAGATGTGGCTGTGCAGCTGGCCTGTCATGGATTGTGGAGCATTCCAGTATTCAGTCCCCATAGCCACCTTGAAGTAGACTGGGACAAGTGTCCGTAAGTGGACTTGGGTAGTGGTATTGTGGGATCTCAGTCTTATGGGTTGGTAGAACTTTATATACTTTAGGTCCAAATGTGGTTGTGTTTTAAAATTCCTAATGTTGAGATCAGTTGGGACAGAGACTGAGGTAGGGCCAAACTTTGACCTCTGTGGTGTTTGGGGGAATTGTCCATTGTGTGGTGTGTCAGGGCTCCTGCCAACCAGGCTAAAGTTTTAGATGGTGCTGCAGGCCCAGCAGCAGAACTGATATTGACAGGAAAATGATACCAAACAGGCCCCTGGATGATAGCTTTTTATCTGCCTTGCCCTTGAGTGTGCTGGCATGGTAGGTATTGAAATGTAATACTGACTGAATGTATAAACCATAAGTGCAATTGTTCAGATGACAACAGATTGCCAAGAATTAGAAGAAAAATGCAGAACACTATAGACTGGGTGGCTAAAACAACAGTGTTTATTTCTCACAGTTTTGGGCTTCAGGAAATCCGAGATGCTGACATTGAGAGGCCTATTCTCTTGGCTTATGGCTGCCTCTCACTATGTGCCCACGTGACCTCTGTGCACAGGGCCAAAGGAGAAAAATCTCTGGTGTCTTTTCTTGTAAGGATGCTAATCTTCTGGGATTAGAGGCCCACTCTTATGACCTCATTTAACCTTAATTTCCTCTTAATCACCCCTGTCTTTAAATACAGTCACAATGGGGGTTAAGGCTCTAACATACAGATTTTAAGGGAACAATTCAGTCCATAACACCCAGGCACTGATAGATAATGGCTAAAAAAAGGGCCACTAAGCCAGGTGTAGTGGAACACACATATAATACCAGCACTCTATGAGGCTGAGGCAGGAGGATTGCAAGTTTAAGCCTAGCCTAGCAACTTAGTGACTTAGTGAGACACTGTTTCAAAACAAAAAATTTCAAAAAGACTGGGAATGTGACTCAATGCAAAGGCCCTGGGTTCTATACTCAGTACTGCCAAGAAGAAAAAAAAAGGATCAAGGAGTGACTAAGTCCTAAGTACACAGCCTGGTGCTCTGGAGGCTCCTCATGAGCTCCCTGACTTGGAAAAGAATTATCAGGGTCTAGTGGCAGGGCTTTGTCCTGTGATGGAGGGAGTATAGTAGGCAAGTGGGGTCCAGTACACCGAACCTGGAGCTGGGTTATTCTAGTTCTGGCTCTATGATAATAACTCAGACATGTCTCATAATGCTTCCATCCTTCCATAGTCTTGTCTACAAAAGATAATAGAACTAATATAAATTGTTTACCATGTCTCAGATATGATGCTATTGCATTACAATCATTCTCTTTTTATATTTTAAAAAGTGTATTAGTAACACACTATTTTTACTTGTCCTGTTTACTCAAGGCTCAGAAAGGGGCAGAATGTCTCACCAGTGGTTGCACAGTTCATGATAGGTGAAAGCAGAATGCAGATCCACATTTGGACAAGGCCAAATCGTGCTCTAACCATCTTGTGTACTGACTTTCATCTCATATTCACTGTGTACTTATAGTAGGCAGTGGGAAATACTGGTTCTCCCTTCCTTTCCCTTCTGTTTTCCACATACCTTGTTTCATGTCATTCTCACAAGTAATAACAAAAGTACTGTTAGCCTTTTCACCTATAAGAATCAGAGAGATTAGCAACCTTGGTTAACTAACCATATAGAGAACCAATAAATTATAGGTGAAAACTGAAATCTTTTGGGGGGGGGCTAGATGGAGGCAACATTTTATTAGAACACACGTGGGAGTCTAATTATTTAATTGAATTTTTAGCATTTATATGCTCCCCCCAAAGGTTACTGTTTCTTTCCTCAGTATTCCCATGGTATGTTGAACATGGAATTTCATTACCTGTTTATGTGTATTGATTACAACTTATACTTTGAGCTCTTTGACACAGGATTTTCATTTATTTACTTTGTATTCTCAATAAAAGCAGAAGGCATGACATATTGTTAACTTACTGTTTGATTAGTAAGTGGATAAATTAATTATTGAGATTGCAGATACTAGAGGTTGGTGCTTTTTGGTTTTAAAGGCTGTAAGAGTATTTAGTATCTCAGCAGTATCTTTGGCAACAGGGGTCCAACTTTCACTCTGATTTTCTGATTATTTTAATGCTTTTCTCTTCTTATCTCACACAATATACATGTTCAATCAGTATATTAGTTCTGCTAATAAAGCAATACCTACAAGAAATACTCATTAAAAGTCCATAATGTTAATCTAGCAGAAAATTTCCAGGGTAACTTATTAGATTTTGCCTGTTATGTTAATGGATTTTTAATGGATGTCCTAAGGAGACATATCATTAAGCAGAATATTGTTGTACATGGATTTAAATTTACCCATTCATCAAAATTAATTGTGTGATGTTTTCTTAGATTTTCATTTCTGGTTATTTGGGCTCAGGATGGTTCAATTTGAACCCAAAGCAGAAGACATTTAATAGTATGTTTACTCTCAGCTATGACTTTCAGAAACTCCTCTGGATGCTAAGTCAGACATTGCTTAGCAATTCTTGGAACTATGAAAAACGAATCTCGGAAGCCTCCCTATGAAGTGTTAAACATTTCCAGTGGCCTCATTGCCCATCAAGATGTGGGCGATACAGCACAAAACCTTTTAGCAGATTTGAGCATTGAGCAAACGGCCTGGATTTGAGCATTAATACAATTACCATAATTTGCTCCATGTGGAGCTTTTAGCCAAGTCTTTACCAGCCTTCCTTGGCTCATGCAGTAAATAAATGCTTTCCCTGAAAACTGAACACCTCAGCAACTGAAAGTCTTATGGAAGAATATCTTTGAAATAAATTATTTATGAAGTATAAATTAAGGATCAAATGCAATATTTATATGGTGCATTTCAAGGACAGGAGATATTTATAATATTTTAAGTAACTACTTGCAAATTTCTAAAGCTAAAAGATTACTAACTAAGATCTTTCAAGGGGGCACTTGAATAGTTTGGTTTGGGATAATTATACAAAGGAAAGAAAAAGTTTTATGAATTAAAAGAATATAAAATTTCTTTTTGATTGAAAAATACAGGTTGAATTAGTATTCAGAATTGATGGATAAAGCCCCAAACTATTTTTCCCTACCCATGGGATCATCTATCCATGGTCCAATAATATGATCTATGTCAATAGATTGTGACTTTCAATTCCATGTGAGTCTTTCCCAGGTTTCCTATCTAATCCCAAGCATCTGTCATAAATAAACAGGAGGCAAGAGATCAGCAGGAAGAAAGGACCTTTAGGAAGATAAG